CACTGAGAGCCTGTGAGAGCCCAACACAATTAAGCAGTGTCGAAGGGTGATTAGCTGGAACTTTCTTAGTTCTCAAAGAGGATGGCGCGGCCTTGATGCTGTAGTCGATTACTGCTGTCACTGCTCAAAACTAACATTAACCGCCCCCGCCCCTGAGCCCCCACCTATGCCTTTGACGTGTGTGTTCCAGGGGTATTGACATGCAGACCTCTCCAGAGTTCATCTCACCCATTAAACAATAACTTTCCCCTCATTCCTCCTCCCCAGAGCCCCTGGCTGCTGCTGTTCTATTTTCTGCCTCTCCGAGTGTGATTCTTCTCAGTTCCTCATCAAAGGGCGATCAGAGAGTCTCGGTCCCTTACAACCAGTTTATCTCACTTAAAATGATGGTTCCAGAAGGTGGAGCGATAGTACAGTGGGTAGGACGTTTGCCTAGAAAGCAGCCGAGCTGGGTTCAATCCCTGGCATCCTATATGGTCCCCTGAGCACTGCCAGGAGTAATCCCTGAGTATCACTGGGTGTGACACCCCGCCGCCCCCCCAAAAAAAGCAAAAAAAAAAATGGTTTTAAGGTTCCTCCACCATGGAGCCAGTGTCCAAATTTCCCTCTTAATGCTGAATAATATTCCACTGTACATCTATGCTACTGTTAGCTTATTTATTCATCTGTTAGAACACTCTGGTGTGGCTTACACATGTTAGCTGTTGTGCATGAGCTGTGATACACATAGAGCACCAAACCATGCTTTCCAGATGCCGCTTTTGGCTACATTCCCCAAAGGGGCCCTGCTGGGCCCTGCCCGGGAGTTCGAGCATGAGTTCCGGTTTCCTACAGCAACTGGATCCTCTCACAGTCTCACCAACAGGGCAGGAAGCATCCCATCTCTCCACACCCTCGTGACTGCTGCTTCTCTCTGGGTAGCAGACAAACCCATAGGCCTGATGTGGTATCTCAGTGTATTTTCAATTTGCATTTCCTTAACCTGGGGCGTTGAACATCTTATTTATGTGCCTACTGGTCACTTGTGGGTCTTCTTGGGAGAAAACACTATTTAAGTCCTTTGCTAACTTAAGAATCTGATTACTTACCAATCAAATGCCTGGACAACCATTCAAAATTGTGTGTTGAACCTAATAACCCTAGAGGACAAGTGCTGGATTTTCTAATGAGAAGCCTGAATTTACTTGCCCAAGATCCTAAGCAATAGAATAGGGACCCAGGAAACCTTTTTTTTTGGGGGGGGGGGGGGGGGCGGGGAATGAGGGGTTGGTTTTGGGCCACATCTAGTGCTATTAGGTGTTACTCCTGGCTCAACCCTGAGAAATTACTCCTGGCGGTGATCAGGGAGTATACCATATAGGATGCCGGGTACTGAGCCTGAGTTGGTCACATGCAAGCAAGCACCCTTTCCACCGTATTCTCGCTCTGCCTGGGGACCCAGGAAATGTGATTTCCAAGTTCACAAGCATGATTTCTAGGCTTTGTTGCGGCCTAAAGGGTGTCTCTCCCATCAGTTCTCTCCCAATCTCTGTCAAACCTCAGGAAATCTCATTTTTCTCTATTTCTGGTCCAAGATACCTAAGCATCACGATCAAGTGGATCAGAAGAATTGCTATGGCGATGGCCCCAACCTGGGAGGCAGCCCATAATACTGTGATGTCAGAAGCTCGGGGGCTCCTGTGTCCCACGAGGCCCACAAAACAGTGCTTTGCTGCATCGCACTCATTGTTCTCTCCGCCAGCAACTGCACCGCAGGGCAGCAGAAGCCACAGACATAAAACTTTAAGACGTGTGAGCAGTTACTGTGGGGATAATGTGTCTTAAGGACTCTGTGCAAAGACAAATTTAAAAATAAGCAGGTTTCCAGTGTCGCAGGATGGGCCAATCTCTGAGGTTATTGAGTAAAGAGTCAACACTGTAAAGTCAATTACACTATTGACAGATACTCTTACAAGGAGATTTCACATCATAATTATATGCAAAGGAACCCAGCAAATACAAGCTGTGTAATGATCAGCTAATAAAAGTAACACTTCATCTATGTCAATAACCGTTTCAGAGTTAAGACAAACAAACATGGCCTTTGCCACTCAGTGGAGGAAAAGAGGGGGAAAAAAAGATTCCCGAAAGACAAATATTTTCACTTAAGAAAAAAGTCGCTCAGAATCACACAGAGAACCTGTCACACAGAGCAGAGTAGGAAATTGGTCTTTAGTGGGTGCTAATGGCTCTCAGGGCCTCCTTCAAGCTCAGCTGAACTGGGGGTAGCCGCAGGGTGTAAATATTTGCACCCCCTCCACCCCCTACCCCCCAAGCCGAGGTGGCTGCCACATGGTCTGGCCAAAGACACTCTTGGCTGGACTGCTTTTCTTTGAAGCTTTGTGAATTCAGGCTGCATGTATATGCAGCCAAATTAAGACTTAAAAAAAAAAAATTACAACCAACGTGAAAGCACAAAACGAGATTTTTTCCCTCGCTAACATGTAATGGCTTTATACAGACACTGACTGCAAATGACCTGTGTGACTACGCGGGTGCCCATTCTTCCTGAGAACATGATTTGCCAGGCCAAGATTTGCCAGGCCTTGAGGAGAGAACTGGGTAAAGGCGCCGTCACACACCCCAGGGTGTTGTAGGTCTGGTTACAGGACACCACCAAGAGGTGACTCAAGCTCTAGTGTGAGGGGCAGAGATCTGGGGGTTTCTGAGTTCATTTTCTAAGAGTTAGAATTATTGATACTGGAGTCTAATGTGTGTGTATGTGTGTGTGTGTGTGTGTGTGTGTGTGTGTGTAATGGAGAAATAGTACAGTGGGTAGGGTGCTTCCTTGACTTATAGGCAGCTGACCCAGGTTCGATCCCAGGCAACCCAGATAGTCCCCTGAGCACCGCTAGGAGTAATGCCTGAGTGCAGAGACAGGTGTGGTCCTACAGTTGCTCTCCCATGATACCCGAGTTGTCTTCTAACCCTCCAAGTATCTGGGATGCCAAGTATCTGATGCCAACCATACAGTCTCTCTCTGCTCCAGTTTTGGTGTCATTCCTACCTCCTGACTGGACCTTTTTCTTTACAATTTTATACCTAGCCCCAGAATGTGTTTGCAGTCCTCTGCTTTGAAGGAGGCACAGGGACTCACACACGGGCTGGAAGGAGTGCCGGCTCCTTAACCAAAAGCGAGACTTCATTGTTCTGCCACAGTGCTGTTTCCTTACCAGAACAACAGTCAGAAAGGAAAAAAAATCAAAAATTAAATTATTTTTAATAGTGCCTCAAGAGGGTCACTGTGACTGTCCTCCCATTGTTCATCAATTTGCTCGAGTGGGCCCAGTAACACTGTGAGACTTGTTACTGTTTTTGGCATATCAAATACATCACGGGTAGCTTGCCAGGCTTTGCCGTGTGGGCAAGATACTCTCAGTAGCTTGCCAGGCTCTCAAGAGGGTAGTCACTGGTAAAATGATACATGCTATGAGGGCAATAATGAAAATAAGCTAACAGTTCCTGTTGAATGTCAAAATGGCCAAAAGCTTCCCTCCTCCTCTTCCTGGCTCCTCTGTACTCCCCCCCGACACCCCAAGACCACAGGATGGCTTGTGGCAACAACAAAAAAGAACTTGTCAGGGCAGCAGTATGGAAGCCTATGTTTCGAGTCTGCCAATGAGGAGATTGCTGTCCTGTGTGCAAACAGTCTCTGGTACGTGAAGTGGGGGAGATTATAAGAACACACGGGGAAACAGTACTTCGGCCTGGCTGTCGAAGGGTGAAAGGAAAAGATGAGAGAAAGGCCTTCCTGTAAGTTTTCTGGAAATACCACCAGGTTATGAGAAGCACGAATGACAAACCACAATTCAAGTCCACTGCTTAATTCCTGCCAGGTTCCTTTCTCATCAGGTGCCAGACGCCAGCGCCTGCCCTGTGGAGCTGCTCCTGGTCCTGGGGAAAGTAGGTTGACCAGCTCCACGTGGTTGGTTGGTGGACACTGAGACTTGGGCTTAGTCTTCCTTAGGCCCTTAGGTCCCAGTTAACTAATTTCCTGGGATGGTTTTCACTGGAATAAGAAATACCAGGAAAACAAAATGCCCTTCTGCAGAGGTTGATCCACAGGAACAGAAATAAGATGAAGGTGATGCCGTGAACAAGTGGAGTTCTGCAGAACGGGGCTTTCCTAAGAGAGCCAGACCAGGCATTGCTGCCTATCCACCAATGGAGAGAGACCCGGTCTAGTGCTCACAAGCAGAACCCTTGACAGAAAATTTTTAACCACAGGGCCACTTGTCCACAGGTCACAAATAAGCTTACAGGGTCAAAGGTAAGGAGCTTTCTGGAAAAGCCTTGTGAAAGAAACGTTTCGGGATGGGCTATGAAGAACATGACATATGCATGAAGAGGAGGAGGGAGGTCTGGACAGAGGAAATGGTAAAGAACAAAGTAGGCCCAACTGGACATATCTGAGGAACTAAATTGACCGAGGGAACAGGGAAGATGCAGTGTGTGTCAGGACAATGAGGTGGACATTAGCGAAAATGGCAAGATGCGGAGGTAACTAGCCTACCTCTCAGAAGCAGGAGACACCTTGTTCCTTCCACATCACCCACCAAAGCACTTCTCACACAATGGCCGGGCATTTGACACTCTTTGTGCCCCCTTTGAAGGGGTAGAAGTACTTTCTGACTAAGGGAACTGTGGCCAGAGCAGTCAGCCATCTGCCCAGAGGGTCAGGCCACAGATTAGTGGACGGGTATGTGACAGGACGAGGTCTAGAGTAAGATCCATTAGTCTAGCCTCTAGTGAACAACTCTCTCGCCATTGCCTCCTGTCTACACGAGCTTCTATGGTAAAAATTCTATTGGATCCATCCACCTCTTTCCAACGGCAAAGAAAATGGAGTAATCTGATGCCCAAGAAGCAGCTGCTGATACTAGGACCAATATTCTCTGAACTTTTGTTTGCTCACCCCCGACCCGTCCCCCCCAGCCCCGTGGCACACACCGAGTCCTTACCTCATGGTGGCCGTCATTCCAATGGGAGTGATTGGCAATGGCCGGACTCCGGGAAACAGCCCTCGGCTCAGGACTCGAGCTCCGTTCTGTATCACTCCGGGAGGAACTGGAAAAGCAACAAAGGACAAAGAAATCACACATGAATTCGACTGAAGAGTTCCAGTGAGTGAGAGAGAGAGAAAGGAACAGTGAGGAAGAGAGGGAGAGAGAAGGCAAGAGGGGGGCGGTAGACAGATAAAGGCTTAAGAGATTGGGTCAGTCAGATCAGACCAACAGCTTACAGCTAATTTATTTATTTTTTCAAAGTTACACTTTTAAAAGTAACTTTAAATGCTACTTCAAAGCTACTGTATGTCATGATTCGCTGTAAACTTGGTTCTCCCATCAGACCTGGCCAGATGTCCCTGCTGACCTAGCAGAAGGCAGGGGAAAATCGCGGCTCTGCTGCGCCTTCCTGCTCTGAAGTCTACGCTGCCTTTCCTCCCGCCCTGATCTACCAGGAAAGCAGAGTCTCAACAGCGAAAAGAGTCACTGTCACACACCGCCCAATCCTTCAAGTTCTCCACATGATTCCCCTTCACCATGGTCACAGTGCCCTGAGGAAAGGCCTCTCCGAAGGGAGGTCATGCATGAGTCAGAGGCTGGCGCCCATTTTGGACTCACAGTCACCAGAGTCCAGCGCAAGAGCAGGTTCCCTCCAGTCCTGAAGCTTTCCCCCAGCACATCTGAGCATCTCTCACCACTGTACCTCTCTGCCAGGGGACACCAGCTCCCATCCATTTCCCAGCAACCCGCTAGCGGTCTCACCCCCCTCTACCTTGACATGACTCTATTTGAGGATGTCCATGAGGGAACAGCCAAAGACAGCCCTGAGAGTCTGTCTTCCTGGACCTCCTACCTCAGCTAAGAGTCTCAGTCTTATGCACACATCACTGATGACAGCAAGGGGAGACAGAGTCACTTTCCCCTGCTGTGCCTTGGTGCAAAGCTTCCAAACTCCTCCAGGAGATGCACCCAGGATGGTACCTGATGCACCTGAAGATCCTATTTTTCTGCTTAGTGGCATTCTTTAGGGGGAGGAATGCCTAAAACGTCTATGACTGGATCTCAGGACTTCCTACAAGGCTACAGCGTGGTAGTGAGAAAAGACAGAGGCTAGGAGAACAAAACAGGCCCAGATCCCGAGGTTGTGTGCTTTTAGTTGACAAAAGTCTCTGGTGTGTGTGTGTGTGTGTGTGTGTGCGTGTGCGGGGGGGGGGGGTGGTTAAGGACTGAAGATATATATGGTAGCCCCCAAAGGCAAGCTTGATCGTCATCTCATCTTACACATGAGGGTTAGTTAGCAAAGGAGGGGCTGGAGCGATGGGACAGTGGGGAGAGCGTTTGCCTTGCATGCAGCTGACCTGGGTTCAATCCTGGTATCCCACATCGTTCCCTGAATACCTGAATATAAAGCCAGGAATAACCTTTGCGCATCACGAGTATGGCCCCAATACAAAACAAAAGAAAAAAAGAATGCAGCTCTCCATGTGAGAACTAAAGCTATAAAACTTCTAGAAGGAAATACTGTTATAAGAGGGAGAAGAGCAACAAATCCCAGGGAACTCTGGGCTCTGCAGAAAGGGGGTTGGCCTACAGTGAGTTGCCCGAAAAGGCAGGCTTTTGTCTGCGGAGGATATGGTAGAAAATTTCCACGTAGTATTTGCCCAGAAAAAAATGTAATGACAGGTTCGGTTTAGTTCTGAAACTATTTCTTCCACCACCCATCACTAAGTATGCCCCACGAGAACATCAAGCATGTTTGACAGAATGGACCGACCCACCAATAGTTTAAATATTTCAAATCAGTTGAAACTCTTGGCGGTAGGAATGATTCACAATCCATATACAGATCCAATCACGGACTGAATTTTTTAACCAAATACCTGCTAGTAGATTCGCCAAGGGGCTTTAGGCTCACCACAGAGAAACAGAGGACGAACGAGGAAATAAAAATCTACCATGCAAAGTGCCAGGGTGGGAAGCCTCCAGGCAGAGAGCGTGGAGAACCTAGCCTGATTCAGGAGTCCTGGGAAGACTTCCTGCAAGAATCGCCATGAAGTGGGGATTCGGAGATTGAGGACTGGCACATACAAGACCTGGAAGGTCACAGAAATATGCTGTTCATGCAACTAAAAGGCCCTTTTGCTTTGAAGAACCTAAAGCAGATTCTTCGAGCAGGAACAAGAAGCCCTGGGACCCATCTCGTGGGTGTTTGGAAAACCTTTGGCGAAAGGTATTGGAGCAGAGAAGGGTTTGCAGCTTCATGGTCAAGCGCGAGCTAGACTGGGGCTCAAAGGTAGGGATCCGCTGTCCCGTTGGCCACTTACTGCCTGAACAAGCCACTTGGGTAAAAGACAAAAATGCCATTTAATCTTGTGGAGTATTTGGAGATTTAACTGAGCTAATAAAGGCTCTAGTACTGGGAGAGATATGCGGTTTCTGTCAAATCCTTCACATTCCACATCCGCTGGTGCATGTTTTATTGAGGGAGCCTATGTTGTTTTGAGGGAGTCTGCTTTTTTTTGGGGGGGTGTGTGTCACACTTGGCAATGCATAGGGCTTACTCCTGGCTCATGCACTCAGGAATTACTCTTGGCGGTGCTCAAAGGACCATATGGGATGCTGGAAATTGAACCCGGGTCAGCCGCATGCAAGGCAAACGCCCTACCCACTGTGCAATCACTCCAGCCCTGAGCCTGTGTTTTTTTGTTTTTGTTTTTGTTTTTGTTTTTTTTTTTTTGGAGGGAGCTTGTGTTTTTCCCTTCAGGTGAACTGCAAGTCAGACGGATTAACAGAACGAAAAGGAAGTCAGACTCGGGCTGGAGAGCTAGGACAGGAGGGAAGAAGGCACTTGCCTTGCTTGCAGATGGGCATCCCGTGACTCTGGTTCAAATCCCCAATACTACACGCCCTGAGCATGGCTAAGGGTCACTCCTGAGCACTGAACCAGCATGACCACTGAACACGCTGGAGGTGGCCGCTCCCAAACCAACTGATATATATTAACAGCGCAAGCTAGAAGAACTGAGCCATCTTCCAGGGAACAAAGTGGGCCAAAAAAGCAACGGTGGCTAACAGATTCTCAGGTGAGAGATGGTTCCCCGCCCCCCACCCCCACCCCAGGCAGTGCAAGAGCTGAGACATCTACAATTCTGTGATCCCACATCTTCCTGCTCATACCTGAAGGTCCCGAGCACCTGGCCCCGCCTAGCCCAGAACGTGGACACAGCTCACGCTGCAGCAGATTCGGGGCCATGCTCTGGGCCACAGGCCCCTATGGGAATTCTTGTCTTCCCACTAGCTCTTGTGCCTCAGTTTCCTCACTAGGTGCAAATGTGCCCGCTGGGCTTGTTTGGGAATTAAGAAAGATGCATCAATCGAGGGACTCCTATGAGCTCACCCTGCCGATTCTGGTCCCCCTACATCCCAGCTCATCTCTCCAGCACTGTCTCTGCATCCCGTCACCCGCTGCCGACGGGCTGGATTCCCTGCGGGGAATGTCCCGAACAGAGTGAGATCTCAGTATGGAAGGTTCCTGAACCTCTCCAACACGTGACAGGCTTTCTTCAGATCTCCCGAGCCCCTTCTCAAATGAGTTGAGCCCAGCAGCTTCTGCCAATCCCAATGCTCCCCAACTTTCCTCCTTCCTGTTTCAGAGTCCCCCAAGGGCCACTACGGGGCTTCTGAACAAGTCTGAGAAGGGGCTCAAAGGGCTACTCTGATGCCCTTTCTCTGTGGAGATCAGGGAGTCGCGGGAGCCACTCCTTGGCTCTGTGTGATGTTTTCCTTCCCTTCTCTTCCCTTCAAGAAAGCCCAGACACCTGAACCCCAGCCCAGCTGCCCCAGCCAGGTAAGTGCTGGGCTGGGAGACTAGACTTTTGGATTCAACTTCTGACAGGTGGCTCTCACCAGCAAAGGCTGCAGACCTCCTCTTTCAAATAGATCAGTTCCAGTTCTACAACTAAGAAAACGCACTTCTGAGATGGACAGATCTCTGGCATGAAGGGTCAAGGTCACAGGCACCAGAGTCTGTGCAGATGGCCCACATTCTTCTAAGTCATAGCAGCCCCGAACCTCCTTGCCTCTGACCAGCAAGAAGGGGGGCACCCAGGCAACCCATCCCAGAGCAATGCTCACCAGGAGCCACTCGCGGTCAGTAGAGGGCATGGACCTCCGCACACCAGCCACGCTTCTCCCCACGCCGGCCAGCTCGGGCCAGTTCTGACTTCCCTCCGGATGCTTCCCTTTCCTGATTCCCGTCACTTCTAAAATTACCCTGGGACCCCTGCCTGCCTTGGGAGGGCAGGCCCCAGGAACGCTGCCAGCACCATACGCCGAGCGGCAGGGGCCTCTCGCCCTCCTGCCCTTCCTGTAAGCTGCTCTCCCACCTGTCTACGCGGAAGGGTGCTGGGGACAGGGCTCACCCAGAGGCACTGACTTCTCAGCTCTTCTGGGCAGCCTGGTGCACCTGACACCTCGCCCAGCCCAGATGGGGAACAGAGCTCTGCCTTGCTTCTCTGCACGCCCCCCCCCGCCCCCCGCCCCACAACATTCCAACTCCAGGATGATTAGGAGCGCTCGCCTCGCTCACCCAGTCCTCCTCTGGGTTAAGGGGCTCTCGTGGGCTGTCCACGGGGACACAGCAGGCACACACAGAGCTGGAGTTCATCTACCCAGCAGTGCTGGGTGGGGAGTAGGTGGGCAGTGGGTCTAAACAGAAGCAATCTCCAGAGTTCAAGAGAGCGTGAGTCTGCATGCCTTAAGTTGGTTCCCCCACTGCCAGATGTGTCAATAGGACATGCCAAGACATGAGTTCCTGTTGCGAAGTGGCACAGTCTTAATAAGAGATGGAGAGAGAGAGAGAGAGAGAGAGAGAGAGAGAGAGAGAGAGAGAGAGAGAGAGAGTGTGTGCGTGCATGTGCGCACGCAGGGGTTGAGGCGCATGCTTTGAATGTGGCCAACCCTGGTTTGATCACAGCAATATATGGTCACCTAAATGGACTGCAGCCTGCGGGACCCCGAACATCACTGGGTCTGGCCCTAGAAACCCCCAAACCATTGCCAGGGTGGTTCAGTTCAGCCTGGACATGGCAGGATCCAGGCAGCACTGCACAAACTGTGGGCCCAACTGGCAGAAAGTCACCAATGGGTTCCCAAGACCTCCTTAGGAGTCCCCACACACCAAAAATAAATACAAATGAATCTATAGCTTCAATACAAGTACACTGAGCTGGTGGAGTGCATATATTCAGCACTGCTATGTAATGAAGACTCTGGATATGTGAAAAAAAGAAAAGACATTTATAGTTCAAGCATTAAACTGATAGAGGAAAGGGAATACCAACAGTAAGAGTCAAAACAATGAACCTGTCAAGTAATTAGGGGCTACCTTTTCTAGCTGGGGCTAAGAATCCAGCAATCCTGGGATTGTATGGAAGCTGCAGAGGCTCAGCTGATGACTAACCCACTTGCTTTTCCCTTTAAGCCCCATGATTCTGGCTCATCCAAAGTCAGTTTTCTGGAGGCCAGAAAGATAGCCCAGTGGGTAGGATGCTTGCATTGCATGCGGTGATCTGGGTTCAATCCCTAGCATTCCATATTGTCCCCTGAGTCTACCAGGAATGATCCAAAAACTTAAGTAAATAAAAAAAATTAAATAAAAGTGGTTTTTAACATGCAGATCCCCCAACACTGCTATTTGTGTTAAGTCACACCCAAGTGTGAGCCACCAGTGGTACACACCAGAGTTAACTTGTGGATAGTGGTAGGCGCTAAGAAGGGACCAAAATTCATGGGGCATGATTGTAATTTCCCATTGATTCCCTATGACGAGAGAGGCAACTTGACTAGAGGAACCATTTCAGAGAGTAAGATGGTGACAGGCTGGTCTGTACTCCTGTGCTATTATCTGAGAGTGGACATTTGCTTGCTACTGTTGTTTTTAATTTTATAAAGTTCTATTTCTCAGTAACGGCAAACGTCATTTTGAAACCACAGGTTAAGTGCTTGTTACAGGCCAGCTCTGGCTGTACATTGGCTCAGCTGCAGTGTCTGCATCTCAGGGGAGCAGCCTAACCTTTTAATCGCTGGATCTCAGCTTAAATTCTTAGCAAAGACACACTGAAAATTCTGTCCCTTAGGAGCAAGTGTGGCAGTCTCTGGCAGAGGGACAAGTCTCCTTGAGGATACAAGTAATAAAAAGAAACAAGTAATAAAGGGGAGCATTATGGCCCGGCGCTGTTGGGAAGGCCCTGACATGTGGAGGGGCTGAGAAGGAAGCACTGGATTCCCTATCAGCTGTTAACAAGAATCCTGTGAATCTGAGGAAGGATGCATGCTATCGGCTCCCCAAAGTGGGGATTCCTCTTGTGCAAGAGGCCATGTGATCCCAGGGGAGCAGAAGTGAGGAGGAGACCAGCACTTCCCATCAAGGCCCACATAGTTAACTTCATTAAGAGGAGAGTTAATGCAGCAGAGAGATGAGAAGCACAGACAGTGGTAGACCAGTTGGCTGGTGGCTCAACTGGCTTACAGTTAGAGGATAAAGGTGAGTGGAGGAAGTAGTCTCAAGATTGGATAAGGAAAGACTGTTATTTCCAGTTAGGATCACTTTTCCTCAGGAGAGAAGGAGATCTTTCTAAAAAGTCTAGTTTCAGAGGTTGGACCAGAGAAACAGTATAGTGGATTAGGCAGCTAGCTGCCTTGCACATGGATGACATGGGTTCAATCCCAGGAATCCCATATGGTCCCCTAAGCCCAGCAGGAGGAGTGGCCAAAAAGAACAACAAAAACACCAACAAAAAAGTCTAGCTCTTGTTTTTTTTTTTTTTAAATTTTTGGGGGGGATCCGGGGATGAGGAGGGGGTTGGTAGGGTGGGAGATTAGTTTGGAAAAGCTGCAGGTGAAAGACAGAAGAGAATCTCAAGTAAGGAAAAGAGTTGCCTCAAGCTTGGCATTGCTCGGTGGCCAACCAGAAGTAAAGGCAGAAGCCCTTCTTATAAGTGAGCCATCCTTGCCTCTTCCTGTACGCCATGCATGGCTAGCTGGGTGTGACGTAAGGAACCGTATCAAGGCTATCCCAGTCTCCTGCACACCTGCCTCACCAAATAGTCCTCTTCCACTTTCTTAAAAATGATAGCCTGATATTAATGAAGTCCCCCAAAGAGAAAGAAATGTTTAAAATTGTTTCGGTTCCTTCAGTCTCACACTGACTCCATAAAGCTACAGTGTCCTCTAGCAGAAATGACAAGGAGGAACGGTTTCTGCAGGAGAAGGAACGGTTTCTCTGTGGGACTCCTTATGGGATCTGCTTCCCTTCCCCCGAGTCCTAAGCCCTGAGAATACACTAGAACTTTCTCAGACACACATATCTGCATTCATTCATCCATATGCATGGATGCATGCTTAGATGCAGAGGCACGTCTGCATGCAAGGAGGGAGCCTGGGAGTGACTCTACCTGGAAAGTTCTAGTTGAACATTAGTTCTTCCTAGGACCTGGTATATAAATGAGAAGATTAGGTTCCCAGACTATGGTGCTGTAGGCTATAGAAATATCTACTCACAACCTGCTTGTATCTCAGGGGGAGTATTCAAAAGCATCATGGCACTGGCAGCATCAATGTCAGGATCTGGAAAAGTCAACCAATAAATAACATTATTTACAACAGGGCTGTGCGTGTGTGTGTTTTTCCCCCTGCAAGCTACAGCTTATGAATAAAACAGAGAGAAGGGAGGGAAATTCAGGAACTGGCTGAGCCATCAGCTCCTGAAGGCGGCTGACGTCCCTCTTTGGATCTGAGAGAAAGACATTCTAGAAAGAGGCCAGTCTGTAAACTCTTCAGACCCAGGCCCTTCATCTATCCGTGGCCACTCCGTAGCTTTGAGCTGCGAGGATGTTCCTGTGAGGGGGCTGATCTTGGCTCCCCGCCAGGGCGTGTTCCTGGGCTGCAGGAGGAAGAGAGCAGGGTGAGAACAGAAGCTCAGCCCACGGGGATCCTGATCCTGGCTGGGCACGGCATGGCCACAGCCTCATGAGCAGACAGCATGGACTCCACCTGCTTCTTGGGCAATGCAGGCAAGACACCTGGTCCTTTTCCTTGCTCAGGAAAATCGGAAGCAGAGTGTGCAAGGCTGTGTGTTTGTGTGCACTGGCTCACAGAAGTGTGGAAGCGGGACAGGGCAAGGTTTGAAACACACACACACACAAACACACACACACACACACACACACACACACACACACACACACACCCCAATGAGAAACAAAAAACGAAAGTTCTGCTGTCAAGGGCGCTTCACTGGCTTCCACATCTATTCCTGCTAGACACGTGGGACCAAAACAAACAAACAAACAAACAAAACAAACAAACACAACAGAACCCAAATGAAAGCCCCCCAAACTCACTGCTTCATTGCTGTAATTACAATAGGCTTCTGAAGTCTAAGTCCACCGGGTGACAGATGGCAGGTTATGGAGGGACAGAAAAAAAATTATCCTTTTATAACTAAATTCATTTTCCTTTGAGAAACAGTGCTGGGACTGCTATTGGAAAGGAAAGTCACCATAGCAACAGTAAACAAGCCCTAAGAACAGTTAGTGAATAGGCAGAAAAGAACATCAGCCCTGGCACAGCTCCCCAGCTGCCTGGGGCAGTGGCAGGAGACATGGCATGACCGAGGCATGACCAGTGTCAGCACCAGGAAATGAAGACAGCAAGTGAGGGTGATGGCAGAATGTGGACCCACAGTCTGCTGGCTTGGGGATACTCCCCAAGCCCAGGGCGTGAGGCTGGGAGCAAGGGGGGTGCTGCTGTGTTGTCATCTTTGGTATGACTTACAGATTTCCCCCACCCCCCACCCCATAATTCAATTTACAAAGAATGGTCCTGTGACATTTTATTGGGAGAATTATGCTAGAAAATGTCTTTTTAAAAAAAATTTTTTTTTATTGAATCACTGGGAGATAGTTACAAGATTTCATGTTTGAGTTACAATCACACAATGATCAAACACCCATCCCTCCACCAGTGCACATTCCCCACCACCAATCTCCCCGGTATACCCCCCCTTTCCCACCCTCCCCCTGCCTCCATGGCAGACATGATTCCCCAAAATCTCTCTCTACTTTTGGGCATTACAGTTTGCAATACAAACACTGAGAGGTTATCAGTGTCTTTTTAAAAATGTTTTTAAAAGTTTTTTTTTCTTTCTGTAGTATATCTGTGCAGTTAATTCTAAAGGAGCAATGCAGGGTAAGTCCTACAAGTGATGAATAACACAGATGATGCTGGTTCTAACAGAGACCCTCTCCAGTAACACCCTCCCTTCCCCAACACACACACACACACACACACACACACACACACACACACACGTAAAGGAAGCTCAACTCTGCAGGCCTTTTTCCCTTCTGCCTGCAGGAGGCCCATTACTTACACTCCATAATAGAGTAAAGTTTATTTTAATAAGTACATTATGTGAGAGACAGGTAAATTAACTATTTGGCGACTCCTGGGGTGAAATTCCTAAAACAGTCATTGCTCCCCACCGATATTAAATATATACGTGTGCGGCTGTGTGAAGCATGTGTGTGTACTTATTGAAGGATAAGCTAAAAAATTTCCAGTTTTTTCCTCGCTGCATCTGGGGTTCCCAAGGCCCTGCCCCCCCCCCCCCCCCCCAGAACTCACTGTCCTGGGAACTTGTTGGCACCTCGCATGCTCCAGGGACCAGGGAGCTCTGCGGGGTGTCTAGGAAACAGAGACGGTGGCCCCTTACTTACGCTTTTAAAGACAGGTCCCTTTCTGGCTGCTTCTGACCAAGGAAAGGCTCTTGGCCATTTCTGAGGCTGTGAGCACTGCAGGCAAACCAGGGTGGACTAGGCTGGGTTCCAAGAGCCGCTGTGCTCGAGGCCCACATCACAGCCACCCACAACCCCCCATAGGAATTGCTCAATAAATCAACGCAGAGTTTTGGGACCGGCTGCCACCCTGCCTTCCAGTCAACACCGCCATGCCAGTGGCCTCCATCCACGCAAGAGCTGAGGTGGCCTTGGGGCACTTGCCTGGTCTCCAGGCCCTGTCGAGGCTGACCCCCGATCTCATTCCTAATCGCTCTATCTATCCTGCCCGGGGGCCAGTTTCTGGGAGGCTAAAGAACAACTTTAGGATGGGCCGTACAGACATAAAATGCCCTTGTGTTCAGTGTCGTTTGAGGAGCTCTGACCAGTTTTACAACAGCACAACTGGCAAGAACAAAATCGCAACTAAAATACTGATCCCAGATACCCAAAGCCTCTTCCTGCCATCCTACTGAGCCTTGCCCTGGGTCCACTTCCTACTACTCCCACAAAGGGGTATCACTTTGCCCCTTTTCAAGGTGGTCAGGCCATCTCCCACTGTGTGGAAATGCCACTGATTAATCCATCCACCTGCAGATGAAGTCGTGGGTTGCAAAACTTCTATGAACTTTGGTACTAGTCTTCGATGAACATGTGCTTTTAGTTCCCTTGGGGAAATGAAAAGTATTTATTTCACTTCACTGGGGATGGTCCAATTTTATTTCAAGGTGGTGGTGCCATGAATGAGCGTTCCAGTAGCATTACATTTTGGCCAACGCTTCAAACTGCCAGTCCTGCTACTCTATAACCATTCTAGTAGAGGTACACAGAGATTTTTGAGACACTACACAGTGGTTCTTATTTCTTAACTTGTTTATTGGGCCACATCCGGTGACGCTCAGGGGTTACTCCAGGCTCTGTTCTCAGGAATAACTCCTGGCAGGGTTTGAAGGACTGTATCTAGGAGTCAAGGATGAAACTTGGGTCAGCTGTGTGCAAGGCAAGCGCTCTACCTGCTGTCTGATCCAGCCTCTCACAGTGATTTTTTAATCTGTACTGACAAACGAGGCTAACACATCATTTCACGTACTTAACCTTTTCACGAGCCACTTATAGACTGTGTTTTGTGAAAAGCCCATTCTAGTTGGTGTCTTTTTTTTTTTCCTTTTTCAGGTCACACCCAGCAGTGCTCAGGGCTGACTCTGTGCTCAGGAATCACTCCTGGTGGTGCTCAGGGGACCCTAAATGGTGCCAAGCATCAAACCAGAGTGTACCTTAATCTCTACTCTCTCTCCAGACCTGGTGCCTTTTTTCAATTGGGCAGTTCAACGTCTTATTATGAAGTTGTACAGTTTCTTTAACTGTTCTGTATCTAAGTCCACTGGGAGGTCTGTTTTGCAGTCTATGTTTTACTTCAGTGTGGAGCGCCCAGAAGTTTTATATTTGGAGACAGACAACTGATCCATTTCTTTTGTGTCTTTTGTGTGTCCCAACTTAGATATGCTTTTTTGTTTGTTTCTGGGTCACACCTGGCGATGCTCAGGGCTCACTCCTGGCAGGGCTCGGGAGACAAAACAGGGTACCCGGGATGGAACCCGGGTCAGCTCACGTGCAAGGTAAGAAGCGCCCTGCCTGTTGTACTATTGCTCCAGGCCCTCAATTAAGACATCTTTCGCCTCCCTCAAAGCTGCAGATGCTTTTTGTGACCACTTTGGAATTCTTCCCTGTCATTCGACCAAAAATCATGCCAGCTGGGGTCCATGGCCAGGCTGACAGGTAAGTGAAAGGGGAAACAATGCAGCGAGCCCTCTCTCCCCACTTGGGCTGAGTACAGAGCCCCAGCCAGGGAGAGACCAGCAAGAGAGGGTCCCGGTGTGGCTTCAGGAACGCCAAAGGGGCAGTGGGGCAGTGGGCAGCCGAGAGAGAAGACTCGGTTTAACCTGCTCCGATGGAGACGCATTCTGGACAGGCTGGAGAGACCGTCTGGGGTTGCCCGCCCCACCCTCTGGGGCACACCTGGGTCCTCTGTGCACCAAACAGGTGTGGACATTCTTAGCCTTATCTATTATTAAAATGTCTCTGCTTTTTCCCTTTTTTAAAAGCATCACAGAAGTCGGCATATTCCACTGGAACAAAGCAGCACGAGGTGAATATCACGTGAGAAGCAAACACTTTCCCCCTCAGCAGACGCCAGGCCACAATACGCACACCAGAGCACCGTCTAGACAGGTGTGTATGTCTATTCATGCAGACCCCGGCACATGGCTATTCACACTCCGGCACATGGATCTGGCCTTTGGAAAACAGGGTTTCTAGGGAAAACACTCCGAACGCTCTGCCAGCACTTTGTCACTTAATAACCGTTTGGCACCCTTTTATCTATGTTATCTCAAGTCTTCCCAGCTGACTTTTCCATGTATACAAACATACCACAATAGTCATACTACACTTGCTTTCCTTTTCTTCTCTTTGGTGCAAGGACCCAAGGACGCAGGGCCCCGATCCTGCAAAGCTGGGACCATCACAGGTCACTCTCTTTTTTTTTGTGGGGGGTGTCACACCCAGTGATGCTCAGGGGTTACTCCTCTGCACTCAGGAATTACTCCTGGTGGTGTTCAGGGGACCATATGGGATGCTGGGAATCAAACTGGGTCGGCCACGTGCAAGGCATAATGCCCTACCCATTGTACTATTGCTCCGGCCCATCGCCACCCTAGCAGTGCTCAGGGGACCAACTGGTGCTGGGACCTGAACCCGGGGCCCCAATCCCTGTACCACGTCCCCAGGCCT